TAGGCTTCGGCAATTATGCAAAGTGTTGCGAACACTGTCCGCTCTGATAAGTTAACGACATCAATTGTCGCTGTTAAAAGATACTTCAGAGCCCGTGTCTTCTCATCTTATATTCTCCTCGTTTCCAAATCTTCTTTTGTACCATTTTCTTTGCTCAGGCTTGATTTTACCATTCAGTTGCTGAAATATTTCCGATTCACGCGTGTATGACGATGGTACGAAAATTGATCGCAAGTAGATGCTTTACTATATCGCTTGATATTAAAGTCTGTCATTAATTTAAATATTTTTTAACATTACAATTGAGTTGAATTTGAATTAAAAGACCAACGTGAGACATTAAATCGGGGGCAGATAGATAAGAAAGGGCAAAATGTTGAAATCAGACTGTCCTATTACCAGGCAATACGGTAATGAATCCCGATCGAATGCAAATGAGGCAATTCCAGGAGGATAGATAGATAGATAGATAGATTGATTGAACTTTATTATCCTTCTCAGCTATCTTACAAAAAATAACAAATAAAATAAAATAAAAATAAGATATACATATAAGAAATAGGTAGGATATGGTAGAACGAACGAAAGCGAGCCAGACAGGTCATATCGAGAGGAATAAAATATTTTTTTATTTAAAAAAACAGCGTAATACCAGTTGTAATTTGATTAGATTCAGAATTAGTTGTTGGTGAATTTTTCAAAAGTTGAATATAAATTAGTGGAATAAAGGGTCGATGCACGGTTGGAATGGGTGTAGGGGCACGTGCACGCACGCATACATTAACACGCGCGTGCTGGTGACGGAGGTTGCGCGAGCAGGCAGCAGGGAGCCGGGATCGGCAGAACGGATCGCAGGCCAACAACACACGCAGACGTTTAGGCGCCACGGCTTTCGAGCCAATAAATCCACGCTGCCTCATTACTAAGCTTGTCTCTTTAATTGAAATCTCGTGTTTTTCCGAACGCCTCTTTTTGCCGATCGCGAGTTCTCCAACTTTTATTTAAAAGTCCGCGGACACCTCGCGCGATAACTTTCGCCGCTCCCGAAACCTGTACCACCTTTTCCTCTCTCCTCTTCTTGTCCACGCGATGAGACCGCGACACGATTTATGCGTCTCCTTTTCCCACCGTTTCGTGATCCGTTTCATCTTCCCTGCTAATCGCCTCGTCACGTCCGGACATTTTTTTCCAGCGAAACCAGCAGGAATAATAAGCTTAGCAATTTGCTATCTTAAATTTCAACTATTCGTATTTCTCTTAATAAGCAACATTTCACCGTGGCTCGACACTTATATTTTAAACATGGTAATTGCCACATCTTCCGTTCCGTTAATTACCCTCAATTGTCCCGGCACTCGATCCCCTGTACCGTATGTGGAGCACGAGAGAGGCGCGAGCGTATTTTTCCAAAGACCTGTGCAAAGTAAAAAAGCGTGTTCGATTAAAGCGTGAAGGTACGGTGAGGCAACGCGACAGTAGGGGAAAGCAAGCATTATCGAAGAGAACAGAACAGAACGGAACGAAACGAAACGAAACGATACGCCGCGGCGCGGCGCCGAGTTCTATCCCCCTTTCGAAAAGTCGATTTCAATCCCACATCCATTTTTATAGGCGCGAAACGATTTCGATCTGGTCGATTGGTATTTCGCAAGCAACGGTCCCCTGGAATGTCATAACGCGTGTCAATCGGACGTTTCTTACCTGAAAGGTAAAGTCGCTTGCGTTCGAGCGAGACCGAGCTTTTTATTGCTACCTAGCGAAGCGTAATCTTAACCAGGTTAACGTAAAAAGACTAATCACCGGTGGACATAGTTTTTCGTTTGACGGGCGAAGGGGCGGGGGAGGGTAAACGGGAAAAACGCTGCGTGTACGCGATAACTCGCCGTGGAATTGGATGATTTTACGTCGTTGGATTAAGAGCGAATACGGTTTTTACAAACTATCGTTGCGTTGTTACATGCAGAATGTACGCGATAGTTGGATACCGATTCCATTAAATCTGTTCCATCGAAATCGTCCACCGAGGCAAGAACGATCATTTTCCTCGATCGCATTGCTTTCCGTTCGTTCTGAATTCTGATATTACTTCTCAGAGATTCTTTTTTTTTTTTTTTTTCAAATGAAGGTTGAATTATAAATATAAATAGCAATAAATCTATTCGCAAAAGGAAATAAATATCAATAATAAGCGGTCGGATAGAATAAAAAGAAGAAGAGAGCGAAGGAAGGAAGCAAAGAACGATCCGTATCGATACATCCGATCGGAAAACGACGGTGGAACTCGATCTGTAACGCATATATGTAACGCATGCGGTCACCGTTGGCTCGTTAAAGATCACAGCTGAAATATCGCGTTCCGTGTTCGGGTATATTTGAGCCGGACTTCTGGTTACGTGTCCTCGGGGCTGTCGTTGTGAAAAAAGTTTGAGTCCCTTGCAAGACAGCATCGTGGCGGTCAGTGATCCTCCCATCGGCTCGTCCACGACCGTTTCGGTGTAGAGTATATTCAGCACGGGCACGATCCAGCCGTCCACCGTCCACGTTCCATCCCGAAGAAGCACAAAACGGAGGGACGCGAGGCGGTTCGTCGCAGACCTGGGTCCATAGCTGGCGCATTATCACATACGTTAAGTTTTTCTCGACGCTATTGGCCCAGAACGAGGCCACGAAAAACGACTGATTAATCGAACCAACACGGCGAACATTCTTGCCGACGTATTATACCAGACAGGAGAACCAGTAGCATCGAAGGGACACCACACCCTGCGCTCCTACATTCGCACGGATGTCGGGAGAAGAGACACGAGCGGACCGATGAAAAACTCTGCCAATACCATCGGCAGAGGCCAGTTCCGCCGATGTCTTCGGACGAAAACCGGAATGCGTTTCTTATACCGGACGAACGCGGCCCCTGTCCTTCTGAACTTACAATTAACGCGGTACAATACCATCTGCACGTTACCAGCCGGAAATTGCCGATTGATTCGCGTGAAACACCGGCGTTCGCTCGATTTAAACCTTTTCCTAATTATAAGGGATGAAAATTTCTCGAATTTTTCTCGACACAGTTGTTCCAGGGCTATTTTCTTCTTTTCATAGCGCGTGTCGCGAGTGAAAATGCCACTTGTTATGCCGACACATCGCTTAGTTATTACGCCACGCGTATCCGTTCCCCCTTGGTTCGTACGAACGACCGTTTCTGCGTTTTCCCCCGCGAACACATCCACCCACCCTGGTAGAACAACGTCGATCCATGCCCTCGGATCGGAAAGCAGCCTGTCCTGGGACAGACATTCCGTGCACCCGGTGTAGCCAAAGTTAAACTTTACACCGTTCTACCGGGCTACTCTTACTCTTTCTCTCTTGATTGCGCCATGTGTGGATGCAAACCCCCCGTCCACGTATTATGACTGCTCTCAGGGCACGTTTGCGGTACGCCTCCGTCACGAAACCCGTCTTCCGATCTGTTTTCGTCTTATCGACACGTGGCGCTTACCGTGATCCTGCCAGAAAATGGTAATTTCGAACGAGCTTCGAAAGAAAATGTTAATTCGATTCTTTCTTCCTTGTAGAATCGTAGATGGATAAATTATGCGTCCACGTTGTCAGGTGAGATCCTCCTCTGCTCGGTATGTAATTATCGGTCATCCAACCCGACTGGTTAATTCGCGTTACGCGGAACGAGAAAAATAACAAATTTATTTGCATCGCTTCCACGCTGATTACGCGAATTCGTGGCTAATAAAATTTGTACAGCTCGAAGACTTCATTACGTATATCGGAGGGAAATTTCTGCGTAGGCTTCAATTTACTGCACGCGATGCGAATTCCAACGATCGACGATATCGTTCGCATCGTTAACTGAACTTTGGCGAAGGAAAAAATGATCCTTCTCTGGGTTCTATTTTCTCCGAGTAATTTGTATCGGTTAATCATGCACGGCATTGACGCGGTGTGGCCCGGGGGTATCGAGCGATTTGGTGACATCAAAGTTTAATAAGCGCCATAAGCCGATCCGAACTACGGCTAAAACTCGTCGGGCAATAAAAGCGGCAATAAAGCGTTCGCCTTTCTCACGTCTGGTGGGTGGAGGAAGCGTGGCTCGGTTGCTTGCATGGTGGTTAACCGAAAGGTTAGAAGGGCGGGAACACATTAGCGGTGGAAGGTGGCGGTGCTCATAGAGACGTCCGGTCGCCCAATTACTCCCGCATTAAATCAATGTTCCTCCAGCTTGGACCATTCCGGCATCTCGGTAATAAACCGTGGCCAACATATCTGCACGACTTACGGCTCATCCCTTGTGTCGCAGCCAACCCCCGTCCCGCGAACCGAACGTGGGGGACGCTCGAGAAATGTGCTTTCTGTCGTAATATTTGGCTTTAAATCATGTCGCGTTGACAGGCCCCACTTTCTTCGCACCTTCTGATTCATCCGCGACACCATGCTCGCCTTCCCCTTTTCTTTTTTCCCCTCAATTATTTTTATTTTTTATTTTTCTTAGTTTGAATTTTTTTCATAAAGAAGACATAGAAATTTCTTCTTCTTATTTTCTTTTAATTTGACGGGAGGAGGATGATCGAATCGTGAAGGGGTGCAAATTATATTGGAAATAGGAATCAAGGAATGCTGTAGGTATTTTCTTCGGATCTAATATCTTGTATTAAGATACCGATGTAACGCAATCGTAAGGAGGCAGGAATTGAAAAGCTCGCGAATTCGACAAAGAACCGAAGCGAAGTCTATGGCCGCGTTGAACCGTGAGATTAGCCTCGCGCACAATTTACGACGGCGATCTTATTCACTGCTAGGCTTTCATATAAAAGCTTTTTCCTGTAAGCTGCGATACGTCCTTTGGGCTTCGTGACTGTCGCAAGGGAAACTGACGGGGCCGAGCGTGCACCGTAACAGATTAATCTTGACCTCTTACGAATTTTGTTACATTTCAGGGAACAAAAATGAAATGTCCATAGCTAACTGGAAATTCTTTTTTATTGTTTCAGGTATCGAGAGGACGTTCTCTGTTGGACAGACAGGTAAGCTGTTGAACAGAATCAATTTATACAATTCATTTTCCATGTTCTTCTCTCCCTACATTTTCAAAGTCCATTAAGTTTCTCTATTTAAATGCGTTAAACACACGTTGATCGGTCGAAAGGTCCCGTTCGATTCACACGAATCACCCTCTCGAGAGAATCGTTTCGATCGTGATCCGAAAAGTATCGTTGGATCACAGGTTGCTCAACGAATTCCACGCGAACCTTGAACTGATAGCCGTGAAATTAGAGGCGAACCGGTAAGCTGTAAAGCGGAGGGTGCGCATAGAGGTGCTAGCGATCTGAGAAAAAAGGGCTTGAAAAGAGGCTTTTGTAACACCGTTTTAAACGATCGCCGAGCCTCTCGATTTATTCCTATGTTGCGGTCGCATACAGACAAACAGAGAGACAGAAGACGTAACGTGAAATGAGAATGAAAGAGAGTGAGAGACAGGCGTGTGTGTAAAAAGAAGAAAGGCAGAAAAGGTAGCGAAAGAGGGAACAACGAACTGAAGGATCTAAGGGAGAAGGACAGGGACGAGGTGAATAATACAGAGTGATTGACGTCGCGACGCAATTCCATTGTTCAAAGTGAGTACAGAGGCGAAGCGGTCGCCGAAGCAATGAGCAAGCCAACGAGCTTTGCCACGAGCTTCTTGCCCATCGGTATAAATCAACTCGCGAGTGACCGAACCGCTCGGCAGCTATACCATCCACCGTATACATCGGCTACATCAAATTAGCGACACTTCTTTCGATCGACATGTCGATGCCGGTTTTTTGCCGTTCGCGGAATACTTTCTCCCTTCGCCCCGGCCTATTCGAAATCCGCCTCTTTTTACTCCCCCTAACCGTCGTCGATAGCTCGTTCGACGGAATACGGTTCATTTCGATTTTCCAATAATCGTTCCGTTCATAATTCGCGAAGAAGATATTTTAAGTCGGGGGCAAAAATTCAAGGATTCGAGACAACGTTTTAGGGAAAGTAATTAACGACGACACACGGCCCGATGCAATTAACCGAAACTGATCCGACGCTAATTACTAGCAGTCGAACCGCGGTAATTAATAACTCGCGCGACACTATCAGCGTACGTCCGTCCCGTATCTTTAGATCCTTATAAAACGTCCGACTACCTCGAGCCGAGAAATCGGTATAATTGGTCGTCGAATAAAATCGCACATCACACCTGTGTATTTTAATCGATCGTTCATAATTCATCGAATCGACGTCGGTTTTTATGATTCTCTCTTCGATCCGTTCATCAACGGAAATTATCGATCGCTAATGTCTTTATTGTAACGTTTTAATTGCATTCCCAAGTTGTGTCCACTTTGCTGAACACTTGGACGTATTCGTATGTATTTAAATCACAGGACAAACTTGTTCGTTAACGTTTCATCTTGTCTCTGGTTTAATGCTATCTTTCGGAGGAACATCGATGCATATTGGACAGGAGATGGTTTCTTTTTTAGTTTGATTATCGTATCGAGTAACATCCAGAACAGAGATCAATCGCTCGAGATAAATTATGCAAAATAAGATACTTTTGATCGGTATTATCGGTACTGTCACATATATTATCATCATTTTACATGGCGTACGAGGAGTCGTTCCTCTTGTTTTCTCGTAAACTTTATTATAATCTTGATGAATATTGGACAGAAGCGTCATGTGAAATGATTACATTGACTGGTGTTGAGAACTGGGTATAAAGATCTCAAGATAAATTATACGAAAGTCCTCGTTAGCAGTGTTATCACGATGTGTTACATATTACTGTATCAGGTTTCTCCTTTGACGTGTTAACGTTTTGGAAAATTTCTTCTTTTTAATATACATATTCTTTGCAGTAATATCAGGAATATGTTAAAATAATATTTGACAAATGTTTGTTTTATTATAAAATCGAAAGAAGAAGAAAAAGGGGCACCAGAAGGTATCGCTAAAATATCGTTGGAATAATTTATACGCGTCGTTAATGAGCTGTTCAACCGAAACGGATCGTTAGAGACGGGTAATTTATAAGACGCGAAATAAAACTATTAGGATGGGAATTCGTAAAGCGGGCAATCTTGCGGAGGGGGGCCGCTACCCTGAAGCAGGTTAATAATTATTAAACTATCGATTAAATGCTCGGAGTCGAGCTGATTGATCAGCGTTTATATCGCGAATACATCGGCCACGTCCGCTCCCTACAATTTTCAACCGGGTGCCCATCTTTCAAGTGCATCACGATCCTTTAACTCGCCAACGCGCGCGCTTCTCCGCTTCGCCTAATGGCGTTGTTTCGACGAAATTATCGGTAATGAATAAAAAACGTGTCCGGATTACCGTCTGTTTGAACTTTTTCTACCGAACGGTTTGTCCGCTAATGATTTTAATTAGCGTTACCAGCGAACCGGCCTGTTCGATTATGACTCTCGTTCAATTTTTCTGCCAGCAGACTGGTTGCGAACGTTGCTGCCTTGTTTCTTTCCAAGTATTCCTCGGGATAGTAACATTATATAAAAATTTTTCATACCGATCTTCGCATAATAAAATTCGATCTAAATGAAATTAGAAAATCAATGAAATCAATCGGAAGATATCGATGAACCTAAGGAGAACCTCGTGAATGCAATAACCGCAAGGTCCGGATCGGTTTGTTTGCCGGAAGCCGGGATCGAGGAACGATCGGAAAGGAGTGCTACGCATACCGGCCGCGTATAGCCGTCTCTTAAACAACCGGGCGTATTTTTTTGCTGGCTTTCGATTTAACTGGATGTCGTTACTACGCTCGGCATTGTTGTCCGTCGATTCGTTCATCGATTCATCCTTACTTTCCTCCTTTCTGCTTTTCACTCGCTCTCTTTTAGCTGCTAGCTCCGTCTCCGTTGTTCTTGCAAGGTGCGTCAGCCGAACCCGATCGTTCCGTTTCTTTCTCGCTTGGCCTGCCGATCCGATCCGATCCGATCCTATATTTATTGTATCGAGAAGAGCAGAGCCGCCGCATTCCTCGCGCATGCGCCGCCCGTAATGAGCGGTCTCCAGTCCTGTCTGTCTTTCCATCCCGTCCGTCTGTCCAGCCGACCGGTCGTATTCCCCCCCTTGTTCACCCTTTTCATCCTACCACCACCTCCTCCACCTCCAACTTTCGCCGCCTCCGTCCACCTCGTCTCCTCGATCGGCAGACTCTTCTTCTTTCGACGTCAACCCTATCTTTCTTCTCTTCTCCTGTTGTTCCTACTCTTCTGGATCTTCCTTATGCTTCCTCGCGATCGATGCACGAGGAGGATCGAACAGGTTTAGGGAAGGTAGATTTCGCGATCGAAAATTGATTGCACGCTCGGATGATGGGTGTTATCGATTTTAACCCCTTTTTAGGATCACGCTACTAAATTATTGAAATTTTGAAATTCATAAAAGGATTCGAGCTCCCCTCTCGTGTATCCATGTTTTAAATAAATTCTTTTTTTAGGACTCCCTCGCGTTAGATTCGAGGCGATCAACGAAGACCCCCCATGGTAGCGAACGCGTTAAAAGTGGTAGCAAGCAAGCCAATAGGAACGATTCGCTTCCGTGGTTTCGCTTATCGATTCAAATCGCGTGCAGTGTGTATGAATGAAGGAATGAGTGGGCGAGTCGAGCCACCGGTTGAATGGGAGCCCCACGGGTGACCACAAGGCACACGCGCGCGTACAAACTTCTCTTTCTTTCGTTCTTTTGCACGTTCATTCTCTGTCTCTCTTTCTCTCGGCTCGTCTTCTTTCTTTCTTTCCCTTCTACACTTGACCCTTGTGGCGAGGAACCGATGAAATCGTTCGACGATACTCGACTTTACACTTTCAGCTACAATAGAACTTTCCTTTGTAGCAATTTTTTAATAGGATATCCGGCTGATAATTGTTATGATAAAAGCATATTTTTATTCATTTTCTACATCGAAGTCGCGTAAAACATTCACGGTTTCCATAGACGCGAAAATATCTGCTTCACTTTCCGTTTCTTCTGACAGTTAACCAGGCGACAGTTTTACATCCGTTCGTTCATTAATTCAGAGCTCGTCCGCGACGTCTTTTATCGCTGGCTACCGTCGAGGTTAACGATTCCACGTAAGAAGCTCGTCTCTCCTTCTAATAGCTTGTATCGGCATTCTTGCGATTCAAAAAATGTGCCAAACCGCTTCCCTTTACCTCGTACTTTTGCATTCCGACTTTTTTCGCCCCGTCATCGATATATATTTGCTCCGTTGGCGATTTTCTTTTCGACCCGGGTTCACGGTATTCGCTAATTAATATAATCGCGCGTAACTCGTCGCTCTTCTTCTTCTTCTCCTTCAATGGAAAATGGGTGGCGTGCCACGGGTCGAGGACGTCCTTTCCACGTGCTGTAGCCTCGTTTGCGTTTAATTTTTATTTTATTTCCTTTTATTAAATTTATAAAACGTCTTCGGAAGCGTTAAGTAACGTTATCCAAATGAAATTCAGGAGTATTGAAAGTAGATGTTGACGTAAGAGCGGCGAGTACCGAGGGACACGCGACGAGGGCAATTTCAAGCGCTTTGTGCGGTATACTGTTAAAAATGCGTGACGAATCGACAGTGGAGGATCAGGGTCTGTGACGAGGCAGCTTCAAGATCCATCCGTCCTGTGCGATCTTGAACGGCCATCGGATCCGGTCAAAGCATTCCATTGTAGTTGGTCGTGGTCTCTAGAAACGATTCTTCCACCGATCCACTCGGATTCGTCTGGTTTTTCGCCGTCGCGTAAAGGATACCCCAGTGATTGGCTTCTTCTCATCAGCGTAATGCGACAACATTAACCGTCACGACCGAGCGACGTTCGTGTCTCGCCTGTCCATGCGTATTCATGCCGGATACGTGTGTGCTACGCGTGTATTAATTGACAAATAACTTTTTACCCGATCCCAGCCGTATACGGATCGTCATTGTGCGCGATTATGTACGTACCTGTTCGAACTTTTCTTCCATTTCTCTCTCTCTCTCTCTCTCTCTTTCCGTCTCTCGCGTTGTGTTCTTTTTTTAAATCCCTCATCGGTTCGAGCGGCAATGAAATGCTGTTTTCCGAAAATGGCGCTGGAATGAGGACAGGTCTCCGGTAGCGGCGCACACGCTGTCCTATCATTTAATTTGGTATCGGATACTTACTTCTGGCCTCCGTTGAAACCCCCCTCGGCTGAAAGCCTCCTCTTTTCTTGCCCGATCACCGTCCGACCGATGCTGTCCTCGCGATCCCCGCGAGCTTCTTTTTATCCCCCACGCGGATCCGGTCCAAATCCATTTTCACGGGCGTCCGTTCGCGCTTCGACATTTTACTTCTTGCCGGCGATTAATTGGAAAGAAATAGGATATCTCCGCTTTTGGATTAGAGTTAAAGCCGGTGTGAAATTAATTGACTGCCTCGAGGTCGAGGAATCGCGCGTATTAGAAATATTATCTTCCGTTATGAGATCGAAATTTGTTCGAACGAAGTTGAAAGAATCGTAAGAAAATGAATGAAGGTAGAAAAGAGGATGGTGATTAGCGATTATGCCTGGTGTACATCGTCGGTGGCGATGAGCATCATCGTGTCGTAACATCACGGCATAGGAAACGTAAAAGGAGGTTGAGGTGGTTAGGATTCAAGCTTCTCTGTGGACGTCTACTAACCAGACTAGTTACCGGTTAAGGCGTTATAAAATCTAGCGTAACCGGGTTTCGCTTTTTCTTACGTAGGAAAAGTATCACGGGTTTGCTAATGAGACGCCTGCCTAACCGCGGTTCATCATTAAAACCGGTGAAAGTTTTCCATTATCTCCCACTCGTCCACGTAAATTGTGTAATACAACAATGGAGAATGTCTCGGGGTTACAAAACAGCGACACCGTGTTCGAAGCAATTACGTGAAAAATAATTAACAATTTGCGATCATTTTCATTCTTTTATTATAATTAGACGAAAATTGAAACATTTCGTTTCCAACGCGAAGATAAGGTTAAAAAAAATATTTCGCGATTATATCGGTTTGCATAAATTTCACAGTGTCGATACATCCTAAGAATCTAATCCCTTCGGATTTTAATCGCTGATCTTCCCTTCGAGTGGAAGTTTCGGGTCAGAAGAAGGGTGGCGTAGACACAGATACACAATCCACCACCGAGATAGCCCGTTTTATTGGCATCGTAGCCCTACTGATCTCAGGCAAATGAAGATGGAGCACCGACTTCTTGCTCGGCTTGATCAAAAAAACATGATCGCCCGGAAACCTGGTGATTCCGGGTCAAACTCGCGCCTTTCATTTTCTAAAACACCGTTCCTTTTCTACTTAGCGTAATTTTATCTAATTAAACCTCGAATCTTGAAACCTTTCTTCGACGATATCCCTACTTTTCGAAATCATTCATCTCCGTTTACCTTTTTGATCGAATGGTTTACCTCGAAAAGGCCAGTTCGCTGGCAATTAACATCGGAACGGTGCTCGTCGAGGGGTTAAACAAGCCCCGATGGTTCGAGGGTTGGAAGCGTGCCGCGTGGAAATCGCTGGAGGGACGCGCGCAGCAACCACCACCACAACCTTCTGGTGGGGATGATTTTCAACGGGGGTGGCTGGGACAAGGCTGAGCATGAGGCCGACACGCGCCTTCACTCGATGACACTTATGCACACGCCCTCAGACCGCGTGCGTGTTGCGCCTGTCAAAAGTCTTCTCTTCAATCGTGTCTCCTTTTCATCCTCTTCCTTCTCTCTCGAATGCTCGAGGTTTTGCATGAAATTTTTCATCTTCCAATCGACTGTCCGACCACGTGTTCGCGCGGACTGTTTACGCTTCTTATAATCATTCATTGTGACTTCGGTGATGTTGGACATTGAGATTCGAATTGCAATGGAAGATTGTTTTAAATCGAGCCGAGTCTCTGGCCGCTTCTTCCTGCAGACTGTTTACGTTTCCGAGAGCAATCCGTGGTGACTTTAGTTGTATTCGGGACGCCGGTGCGAGATGTTGCTTCGGTTGTTCAAGAGAACGGAAGTTCAGTGAAATGGGGTGCGCTTTTTAAAGTTGATCAATCTTCGGGTGAGACACTCGAATGGACTAATTAACGATGGACGCGCGAATGTATAACAGAATGTGGCAAACGTCGAATCTGTACAGCACGTATAAACATCCCGCGATCATGCAGCTACAGGCGAACAATAACGAATTTCATTCGTGGTTTCATTCTAGGAAACCGTCCATGGACGACGTTGGGAATCCTACCTCTGTCAACGCACGGTGAGTACTCGTCCAAAATGTTGAAGTATTTTAGAAATCAGATTATTCTATAAGTAAGATAGAATTTTAGAATTGTCAAATTTTCAAGAAAATTATCTGTAGCATCAAGGGATCACAATTACGATTATTTTCTTAAAAATCGAATTATTATTCCATAAGTAAAATAGAATTTTAGAATCGTTAAATTTTCAAGGAAGATATCGAGGGGTCTGAATTATGATTTTTCAAGAGAATGACATTACTTATGGAATGATCTGATACTCGATACGGTTACGATCGTACAAATTTCATTCAAATATCGGATGATGGCTGTTTGACAACGAGCGAGAATAATCTGGCAAACAATCGAGTAGCCCATCGGAATATCGATATAGAGGCTTATCAGGAATAGAGAAACGGTAGTGGTGGGCCAGGTAGAATCGGTGAGGGCCGGTTTTATCGGTCGCGATCATCTACCCTTCGATTCGGCATCGGGAACTGCCTATCCGCCGTCGTAACAATTGAACCGGTAATAGAATCACATTTATTCTTATTACCCGACGAGGTCAAGCGAGCATCGAAACGGACGGGTCTCGATCCAAAGTCGGATCAGGCTCACCCAAGCCATTCCACACCGACTCTCTTATTTCTCCCTGGGCTCCACACACGTACACACTTGCTCTTGTGGTTTCCTTCTGTCACGATCAGGTGAATTTAGAACTGTTCGATGTAATTCGTCGAGAGAGTTTCTTTAACGAAAGAAAGAAAAATTGTATAAACAATCGTCGTTTCTTAGGGATAAATTATAAGGTTCTGCAGTTTGTTTAATTAATACAACCGTGACTCATGCACCTATGCCACGGTGAGCAACAAAGCATCTGCCACGTTGTATCTCGTTCTCCATCTCGCCGCGTTCTTTAGGACTGAACCTACAAGACTATCAAAACCTTTGCTCGCGTTATGAAGATGCCGCCTTGTAGATATATATATAAAATTTCTGCGTAAGGTCCTAACCCATTCTGTTGTTGACAATAATTCATCAGACTGTTGTATTGTTGTATGGCGAGGAACGAGCTGAGGGACAACAGAACGCGGTTTTTCTTATCTTTGCCAAGATTTCGTCCAAATTTTCGTGCTGTTCTGTTTCACTTGAACGTTATTACGTAGATCATTGTCTCAGATTTATGAGATCCTTTAACGATATTAATGAATTTCGGTACGGAACGTATGGTTTTTAATGTTCCAACGTTTCAATTAGAGCCTTAAGAATAACTGAATTTCAATTTGAAAATATATTATAGAGAGGCTGATAGGAAATATTCTGGCCTCTGGATTTGTTCACGCTTTAACCGTGACGAGATTAAAATATCCCGCTGGAACGATTGGACGTTAGCACGTACTAATGGCGGAGGTGTCCGGTGCATGTACATTGAACACAGTTGAAGTTGCGTGGAGCGGCTCGTGTAACGTGGCGGAACGACGAACAACCGTGAAGGTGTGATGATAAAGGAAAGGTACCTGTACGTGGGCGTAAACGGGTGGCGACCTCGGAGGCGTAGCCAATGCTGCAGGCGACAAGCTTATCGAATGGCAAGTATGCCTCCGCTTCTGTTGCCAGCTTAACAAGCGGATCCATATCTGCATGTAGGAAAGTTGACGATTTCGATAATCAACGAACGCTCTACTTAGATCCTATATCAATTATTTAAAAAAAAATGGAGGAAAAGAATTGGCGAAAATATCCGAAGATGGATTTCGTTCGAGTTGGCCAGCATCGCGGCTCACCTGACTGTGGCAACCGTTACAGGAGACTCCTTCTCGGTGCCACTATTAATATTAATGCATTCCGTCGTTCTTGCGGCATTGTGCTCGCGTTGACGGTGGCGCGTCCAACGTCGGCCGTCCAACAATATCCGACGAGCAACGACCACGTCCTTTCCGCGGCCGTTTAAGTGGCCACGCCGTTTGAACCGCGAACGCGCCGGACCTACGTGTCCCCCTGATTGTGTCCCGATGGTTTTGTCCGCCGACTGAATATTCAACCGGCCGATAAATAACGCTGAAAGCCGGAGAAACGAGCGAAACAATGACGAGGAGGATTTTTCCGTCGGGGGTTGCTTCGAATACCCCCGGTAAGAGAGAGACGGAATCATCGGCTCCACTTGCAAGACGACTTTTCTTATGCCGAGACACCTCCTCTTCGCTCCGTTGCAAGCGGTCCTCTATTGTCGCAACCATTTCCTCTCAGTCTTATGAAAGCTCGACAATGAACGTTTCTACGCTCTCGCCTACCGTAACCAATGCCGCGTTACGCTCCACCACGGTGATCTATACCGAGCATTCTTCTCTTCTTCACCGACTCGTGTCAGCATCCTCCAGTCTTCCTCTTCCTTCCATCTTTCTCCCTTTCTTCCCTCTTGTTTCTGCTTTTTTCCGTTTCTTCTTTCGTCACGATGAAACGACGTTCAATGCTGTCCCTTTCTGTTTTTCTCTCCTTGCCTTGCCGAACTTACCGATCCGAACTCTGTTCTTCATTTTCGAAGTGTATATTTATTTATATAAAAGGGTGCAAGATTCGAAGGTGGTTAGCCACAGGGTGCCGATGCTCGTCCACAAATCTTTTTCCCTTGATCGAACAATATAAAGAAAGGATTATGCGAATATTCGGCTACGATATCTATCATCGTGAATAATCACGCCGTACGTTAGGACATTCGCGGAGACTTATTATCTGACGTGATTTAGGGGGTAAAAAGTTTCTTAGCCGCGTCCCGAAGAATACGCGTCCTCCGCATATATTTGCGGTATTATACGTTGTGCCGCGAGAGTATCAATTAAATGATAATGTGGTGATTAATAGCAACGATTCGGTCTGCCGATCGTACCGCAAAAACCGCGTCGTACCCTCGAAAATAACGTCGCGAGATAGGAGATACCCCCGAAAGATAGGTTGAAGAAAAAATTGGATGGTAATCTTGTTACTCGGATGGATCGAACGTCAGTTTTTATTATAAATCATAGAAATTTGATGAAGTGCTTTTCGAATCGATAGGATATTCTAATTGCTGTTTCTTTTTTTCTGTGTACCATGGGTTTGTTCGCTGAAAATGAAGTTAAATCCCGTTTTAACGAGCGGGTACGGTAGTCAGTGCTTTAAGAAGATGGTCGACAGTAGTTTGGGGCGCGAATCAATGAGCAACGGGAAGAGGTGGAAAGAGAAGGTGGCAAAGTCGGCTTTTAAGCAGTCGAACGACGTCTGGCAAATTATAAGAACGTGCGTCCGGCGAATGCACGTGGCGCAGCCGAATTTCTGCACGTGGGACGAGCGGAATTCCTAATAAGTCAGCGACTAGACAGAAGTCTCGCGCTGCTATCGGCTCGCTCACGAGGCAGAGATAGAGTGACGTCACGGATACGTGGGATTCCTCTCGAGCAGCTGGATCACGTGCTGCGGCCGAACGTGAGGCTAACTTAAATGCGGATCAGGGAGAAACCGTTCCAAAACCGATCCCAAATGAATGCGCCTCGCCTCGCCTCGCCTCGCGCCGCCGAGCGCCAAGCTGGCTGCCCGCGATTCAAATTGTTTTCACGTTCTTCCATCGCGGTATCGACCGGCTCCTTCAATGAAACCAACCTTCTTTCGAGGTCAATAGTTCTGGAATACGACATAGAGACGCATTTCATCCCCTGCACCCATTGTGATCAAAATTTTTCTTCTGAGCTAGACCGCATCCCCTATCGAGATTATTATTTAAATTTTCTAATCATTTTCACCTAGACTTAGACCTAGTCTTTAAATATATCGATAAACGATTTCCATCAGGGGAAAGGAAATTCTCGAAGGTTTTTTTCTGGAAATTGTCCGTGCTATTCCGACAACGAAAGAAGAACCGCGTTTCCCGCTGGGAACGTCGACTGTCCCGACAATCGCAGTCAATTGCCATTACGGGAAATTAAATCAGTCGAGCCTCTATTTACGCGGACCCTAATGCCGTGTAAATTGACCGAGCATCGAGATAACGCTCGCCTTTGGATGGCGAATCTTTTCACGGAAAAAAAAGGAACTTTAAAAGCCAGTAAGCTTTCTTTCGGAAAAATTTGAATACATAGTCTGTTGTTAAGAAAATTAGAGATTTTTTTTCGAGGAATCGGTGTAGATCGAGTTAATTGGACCACGTTGGTGGTAGATTCGAACCACGTAACGAGGAGATAGACGAAGCATGTATGTACATCGTGCAAGGAGGGATGAAACGAGCGGAAAGAAACGCAGTAATTGCGTGTTCAGCCTAATACGTCCGGCAGTGAAATGCCACACGAGATCGGGATGCTGGGGCCGAAAATTTCTCCGTGCAAAACCAACGGGTTAACAATGGGTATTTTCATTAGTCGAGTGGCCCGGCCGAACAGTAGATATTTGATTCGGTTTTTATCCGTTCGACCGACATTCCGGCTGGCAGGACCGCTCCGCTCGATGGCTTCGGAAAAACGGCCGCAAAGCTGACTTCTCGATCGCGATATCAGAAGAAGTTCCATTTAGGAGAAAAATAGCATTGTAAATGCACCGTGTCACAGGGCTTGTTTGTCGCGAACTTGAATTTCGTCCGGCAAAAAGCGACACGCTCGCTTTGGGGGCCACGAATGCTGGATTTCGTTCGAATTTCTCGAATTTGTCGATTGATTGAATGCAGAAAAGTTCAACTATTTTCGTTTCGGAGTGAAGATTTTTAGGGGGAATTTTGAATTTCAATTGAAGCCGCATCATTTTAAGCAACAAATTATAAAATTACGTCGAATAAAAAATGCATATAATGCAGGGGCTGAATATTTCCGCTGGGACAAACGTTCGGAGGGGGCTTGGACCCTGCAAACTAAACGGGCCGGTCTTATCTAATCTCAATATAATTACGAGTGCAGGTCATAAAATTGCTTATTATACTATGGAAAAGTTGATTCGGGTACCATAATACTGGGGTTTGGAAATTAACCTTACCCGTCTGCCTACCTACGCTGGTGATGATTATGTCTACTTATAGGTATAACTACTTATGTGCACCAAACTACCCGTCTACCGGCTCAAATAATCTTCACGGTTCTCTCTTTCTCTCCCATTTTCTCTCTCCAACTGAATCTTCATCCAGGCTGCTCTTCACTTTCTGTCCTCTTTCAGGGCTCGTTCATTCCTTCTTCTTCTGTCTCGTTGCTCGTCTCTATTCTCCTTTCTCTGGCTCTCTGAAAAGGCTTATAAACTAGTTTATAAAACGACTCGGGTACAGTGTCGAGCACCGTGAACTTCCTCGAGGAAGGAGATAATGTAGAGGAAGAAGACCTCCACCAGTCGTGTATAAAGGTTTATTAGGAAAAATTTTTAAATGTCTCCTATGAGATAAATCTGGTGGGGGGACTTTTTTCTCCAAAAAAGATTTGCCATTTTCCCTAGGCAACCATGCTCGATACTGTACGTACTGGGTTTCTTTCCGCGCAATGTCCAGCACAAATGCTATTTAGTTGACGATGCTTGTTTCTGTGTTACAGATATGACGAGGAACACTACACTTTCGAGAGGTATGCTCTATTTTAGTCGAAATGCATGCAATTTCTTAATATCCTGCTCGAGCTTCGTTCCATTTCCAGCCTCATTGTTCTGTTCTTTTTCTTTCCTGTGCTATCGAAATGGTATTTCTTTATTCTTTCTGTTGGGAACAGGGTGTGTAGGAGAGTATAATTTAGAAAGAGTGTTTTATTTGATTAGGACCTGCGAAAGGGTTGAGGATGTTAAAACATTTTGTTTTTATTTCTGCGAGATAATTTGCATTCGAAAAGAACATCCTGTGTGTCGTGTGAAAAGCGTTCCGAGTTGCATTACGTTTGACGCGATCGAATGACCCGTTAAAATTGAAGGGTGCACCCGACGCGGTTTAATAGCTTCGACGAAACTGGAAGCGTAAGAAGAATGAACTGGAATCGCTTGAAAATGAGGAGTAAATGGTGTTGGGAGGTTTCGAGGTGTCGTGGATTTTTTTTTGTCCGCATGTAAATTGACCGGCAAGCGAGCTTGTATCACGAAATGACGAATTTAATGGCAGTTTACCTTTTTCCCGGCGATGATCCGTGAAACGATCGACGGGAGAGATGAAATTTCGAGGATGTAACCCAGACGCGCGTAATCTAAATTATTAATCGAAAGACAGTGTCTCGAATTTTTCGTATGGAAATTAATTTTTATTTGGAAATCGAAGTTTCCATTGCGGGCTAAACAGAGGAGCGACGAGACCGCCGAGAGGAGATCGAAAGTAATTATTTCGCTACTCGACGATTAACTCTTTCTTTTTTTTTAATGCAAACCTTCGCTGCTCTATGATTTCGTTGGCTGTGCATCGTCCAGGGGATAATAACGTTCGAATATTCCGTTGGAGGAGATCGGTGGCGCGTTAACCGATCCTTCGAAGGAGGGCCGAAAGTTGTTGCATTTTTTCCTTCAGCTTCGACCGGCTCCAATTAGCCGGATAAATCGCCACGATAACCTAATAATGATTCTATTAACAATGTAAATGGGAGTAAACGGCAAGTCTCGGATGTGCTCGGAGAACCGTAATCGGGACCCGTCCCGCGAATAATAATGCCCATTACCGAAACTTTCCGAGCCGCTACGCATTTTCTACGTACGTACACCCGAACGCGATCGGTGCAACACGTAATTCCGTTCTGCATACGCATAATATAACGCACGATACTTCCTATGAATCTCCATAATGGCCGGTTCAAAGACGTCTCGCGAACCGGCGATCCTTTACGTGGGCTTACGCAACAACCCGTTGTTTTATCACCAACCACCATTTATCTCTCCTCGAAATAAGCCTTTCCTATAGGAAATTAAATGTTAAAATTTATCCGACATTCGGTTCGTTCGAAGAAACATGTGACAAAAAGATAATCGACGCTTTGAATTCAGAAATTTCCATAATGCTCGTGCATTATCCTGCACGCGTTTCGACGTCTGTTTACCACACGAGGGATGCAATTATCTCGTATAAACGTTATCCATCCTCGAAACGCGATTATGTAAAAATTCGTATCGCCGAACGGAATTGCAAAGCAGACGTCGACTGCGATTTTAAGTTGTGGGATATGTTTCGCCGTCGTTGTATTAAAATGCGGCCAAACGAGCGCTTTTGTTTCCCGAAGGACCGCTTGGACCCCCTCGTTCGTCTTCCCTGGCTCGTGCGACGCTTCATTTTTCCCCCCCTTTAAACTCTCCGCCCTCCTTTTGCAATTGGAATTGTCATTTTTATGCTCCGGGAAATTAAGCAGAGATTGACAGTGTCTTCGAGGAACCTTTGAAAATTTCATTTGGAAAAAAGAAATTTTTCTAAAACTCTTTTCAACTAGCCTTCGGTTTTCAATCGATTCGATCAGACATCGTAAATGAAGTATTGCTCGTTTGACTCCGTAGTAATCGAGCACGGTTCGTTGCATAAGTATAGATCGCGAGGAGACGTGGACTTTCTTATTAAGGTAGAAAGTAGGAATGCAACTTAGAGAGCATCAGAGGGTATAGAGTTGAACGTTCGATTGAGCCCGGTACAATTCCAGGGATCCCTAGCTGCCGTCTTAAAAGGCATTTTAAATCGGCGTGTCGTGAAAGAATCTCATAGAGATGCGGCGTATAAAGGCATTCCATCAAACCCTCCACCTTCGCATCCTCTATTCTCTCTCGCGTTTTCCTCGCTCCTCGTTCATTCTTTCGGTCTATCATCATCGAGAGCTTCCTGTTAATTCGTTCATCCTCTTATCACAATCGTGTTCGTTACTTATCGCAAAAGACAAAGTTTAAAATGATTTATTTCAATGTGTATATTGTATGGTAAGAAATAGTGCTCCTCAAGATGCTAGGGGTATTGGTAAATGATACTTGGACGGAAGGCTAGGATAATGGAACGAAGGTTGAAGGTTGACAGAGGGGTGAAAATGGCTACAGGCTATGAACACTCTCCGCCACCGCAAAGCCGAGATTCGATAAGCCGACTATGCTCTTTTATTAGGATCTACTCAACGCTGCCGGCGTAAACTCCGCACCCTGGTTCGAGCACTCTTTTTTCGCGCGAGATCAACTATATTTTCCATGCTTCGGATTGTAGAACACCGTTGAAAAAACGAAAATCCGGATCGATATTTTCAGATCGAGCAAAGAAAATTTCTACACTCTTTTCTGCATACATATTTATCCGTTGCGTTAATAATAGAAGCATGAACGTATTCGGCTCGGTTTGCACGCTGCTCATTTATTCCATAAATCTGACAATAAATAACGGACATATTGGGGTGTTCGTGCGGTCTCCGGTATCCAGGCTGCTTATCGTATCCCACAAATGCGCCGGAACGCATTTAAAATGTATTGAACTGTCACGGGGCAGTGGTTTCCCGGATTTTTACATTTTTCATCGCCTCCCCGAACGCGCGACGGGTCCGCGCGGATTACTGACTTATTGTTGTTCTAAGTGTGCCGGTCAAGGGGGATCCGAACCCCTCCGTTGTTTCCACGATGCCCTAATCCGACTCGTAACCCACCCCCACCGTGCCAGAAGTGCAGTCGTTCGTGACACTCGTTCCAGGGTGAATAGCTGGGCTGTTATAGGAATTTTGCCTGCATTCTTGCAAATTTTAATCTCAATTCGATAACTTTTCTCGGATCTTGAAGCTATCGGGACGATCAAAGAGATGGGAAGAGTGATAAGGATCGCGATATCAGAGGGTGGAAGACTATTCGATTGGAAATGGTTATACGTTGCAGTGAACGCGACAGATATGGAGCTTTGAATTTCTTCCTCATTTTCATACATACACATTCTCATGGCGTTTATAGGCGGAATACCTGTTACGCTTTACCTTCACCTTAGTCTGAACGATTCCCTGTAACGAGCTCCTCGAAAATATACCATTTTCAAAGTCGTTCGACAGTTTAATTTTTATCCTTAAGGGAAATATATGAAATTCGAAATTATAATTTATCGTCGAAGAAATTCAAAGAAATAGCACGAATGAAACTGACGATGTTAATTCCGTCAGGACAATTAATCGCGATGCGGTAGGGAAGGGCGAAGAAGCCACTTGTACACGGATAAAGGATAGATGGTCTATCCTAATCTGCATCAGCAGATTGCTCTGAGAATTGACACGGAGGATTTTGCTCTCGCCCTTCGAAGTAGCTACACTTGACGTCTCATCTTAAATCAAACCGTCTCGGCCAGCTCCTTAGAATCCCTATCGCGGCTTTCGCTACAGGACACTGAAACTCGATGCATATATTACCTGGCTTTAATTGAGAAGAGTTCCCAGGACGATCCCGCGCTAGAGTTTCTAATAACCGACCATGCGGAATCTTTTCTCGATCGAGGGTGACGCCGTCTGAACTTCCGCAATCTCGCGATCAAACTTGAACGGTATTCCCTCCTTTGCATACACCGTGATCGAATCTATTAAAAATTCAAGCCCGCGTTTCTTTTTCTGTAAAAATACCCTGTGTTTTGTTTGTACCGTATTGGAAAATTTCACTCTCCCTTCTTTCTTTCTACGCTTCGCGAAGAAATTGATGGCAAACCTATGTACCGTGAATTTGACGGACGATTAAACATCGAAGACCTGTAGTTCGCGATATTACCTTCTACTTGAGGATGGCCGGAATTGAACGTTTCGTTGCTCCATGGAATCGCGTTTCCTTTCTTCGTTTTTATTTAGTTTCCTTTTTCTTTCCACGGCTAGTTTGCATGACAATACGCGACGACCGAACCGCTCGAAGCAAATCGTTGATGTATAGTTTCGGTGAGGAAAGGTCTGCTACTTTGTTCGGACGATTGGAATGGAAATGGATATTTCCTAGAAAATATACTCAAAAATTTGATGAAAATTTCATCGTTTTAAGAAGATTTTGCGCGGAGAAAAAAAATTGCGGTTTGCATTTTTCAATGATAATGAATTGCGGTATTGGAACCGATAGCCACTAATAAGCCTCCCCGTTCTTATTACAACGAGGTCGTCATAAAGAAATGCATAATAGAATTGTAAATGTATGGAAATGCTTTCCCGAGCTTTTGAGCGACCCGACCAGAGGAGGAGATGCATTTTTCTTCAATTGCATACTTACCTTCTGAATAGGTCGCGCGAGTCTGGTCTACATGCACAACCGTATCTTATGCGAGCCTCCATTGTATGTGTATTAACACAATGCAGAATAAACTGAGCGACTGAAACGGATTACACTCTTCCTCCTTGGTCTGCTTTCAAAAGAATATGCAAACGACGCGAGCGTTAACGCGCTTCCCTTCGCCGAGAATCCGCGTTGCCTGTCTAGATAAAAATGAAAAAATGAAGAAGAAAAAAGAAACGGTGACAGTAACTTTCGACGCTTATTTTTAATAAATTTCATAGCTCGTCGAGGTAATTTAAATCGACGAATGAAACGATCGTATTGGAAGAAATAAAATAGGGTTGTATCAAAGTGTAAGAAGGGTCGATGTAACGCGAGCGATTCGGCATTTGAAACGTTCCGTTTAATTAGCGCCTTGTGT